TCATCCAGAAAAAATGGGTGCATATCCCTTTATGGCTGGGTATTACTCGTGCTGCCATGCTGTGTGATCAGATATAACATGCCAAAAGAGCAAAAACAGCTTCTAATGGTGTAGTATTTAGATCAAGGCAATTTATTTGTTATAACGATACTCAAGTGAAGTCACACGATTTCAAAGTCGTATTCAGTGTGAACCCAGACTTGGTGCTCTTAACTGAGACAAGCACACACTATAGAGGGATATGTTTTGTTCATATTTCATGTCTGTGGTTTACAACTACTTTCATCAAGAATGAGCAGCTGATGCACAGCAATAAATAAAAAATGAATAAATATTGTAAATATTTTTATTTCGTAAGCGTAGTATTTGAAATACACCACTACATATCACCTCTTCTTCTTAAACGATTGAACCCTCTATATTATTTTGAGCATACGAGCTTTATATTAGGCAAAAACTTATTTTAAAAAAAAAGACTAGGAATAGTAATGAGGATAGGATATATATTGTATAACAGTTTGATAGCAATTGCAATTCTTTTAACAAAAGAACACTTATTCCATGAATAATTATGCTACCAAAATTAGTGTGTGTTGTAAATTGGTTCCCGCATTGCTCCTGTTTCTTCTTGCTTGATGCCGCCATTTTCTTGAAGGCCAGAGCAGTCACTGCTTTATTGGAAACTCTCTCCCTCTCCTTGGGCTCAAAAACTATGTCACTTTCTGTAATTAAAAATATGTACATTTTCAGCCTTGATTGTATGTCTTGGCTGATATAGCGATAAAGGCTGTAGAAGCTTTACAATGAGGGAGAAATGAGAGAATGTCAGTTATATAAGACAATATCCGTTTAAGTTTAACTCCTTTGTGTCTCCCTGGCAGCAGAGTTTGTCCTGTCACCTCTCCTGCTTTTCTTTTCTCTCTCCTTTATCTCTGTTCCCTCCACACAGTGGGGGAGATTTACTAAAGCTGGTTCACTCAGAATCTTGTGAACCTGTGCATGGTAGCCAATCAGCTTCTAACAGTTTGACAGCTTTAGCAATAAAACCTGGAAGCTGATTGGTTTCCATGCAGAAGTGCACCAGATTCTGAGTTATATTTAGTAAATAAACCTCAGTCTGTCATTGCTGTTGCTTTCTTCCCCCATCAGCAATAAAAAATCTTAACGCTGGCAGCTGATCAGCCTCTAGTGGCTCTGCATCTTGACGCAGTGCCAAACAAGAGAGAGCAATTGAGCATGTGCAGAGCAGGGTGAATCAGTGTATTCCTGGATTTTAAATAGTATAGGCACTTATTTTTTGTTTTACATTGCTATACCTGAAAAAAGGACCAGTCTATCAGGATTGAATTTTCTAAATAAAGTGCCACTTTAAGTTATTGCAACTTCCGAAATGTTCACATGACTAATCCAAGAGAACAGTTTTTTAAATTACCCAACAAATTTAAAGAACTGTTGCATAAAGAAAGAGAAAAAAAAAAAAGATCTTTGTAATAATTACAGCAGCTAGAGGGCAGTATGACAGTAGATATACTGTGATGCAATACGTGAGGTTTACCGTGTTATAATAGTAAAAGCTGATAAGATATGCTATCAAAGTACTATAACAACAAATGAGTGATGAATTATTGTTTAGTCACTGTCAGGCCTACTTCCTTTGGAAACTGCTAACCAAAACTGTATGTTGCGTCATGGTTATGTTTAAAGGATAACTACACTTTTAAAACGTATTAGCACTTTTAATATATACAGGTATACCAAACAACTTTGCAGTTAACCTGTTATCCTTGCCTTTTCTTCAAACAGCGTGAAAGACTTTGCTCCATGGCTTCCACAAAAATCCAAGATTGCCAAGGTTGAATTCATGGACATGTGTGACAGCATCCAGTCCCAGAGAATTTGGAAAATGCACCACTGATAAAAAGAAAGGGAGCTTGGTTTCAGGGAAAATGCGTTAAAGCGTTACTAAACCCACAACAGTAAAATCAGTCTGTATATGCAGTAAAACATGCTTGTTATACTCACTGTGGAACCTAAGGGATTAATTCACCGCATTGTGTAAAAAGGATGTTTGATCCTTTCTTCTCTGATCCCCCCCTTCTTTCACCTTCCCAATATAACATCTGATAGAACAGAGGCTTGGGGACAAACTGCACATGCTCAGTTTGGTGTGTATTGCTAGAAAGTGCATGTGATCAGCATAGGGCCAATCAGCGCTGTCCAGACAGAGGGTCAGGGGTCCTGCAGCTTCATAGGACAATCAGGGGAGAATGAAAGCTCCTCCTACAACCTTTAACCAGTGCTCTGCTGGACACTGATAGAAGTCAAGTCACAAGACTGCTGATGAGGAATGGTATTTAGCAGTTTATATTTACTAAAATGATTGCATTTCCATGTTCTGTGTACTGTAGGAGACCAGATATAGTGAATGCAGGGTCCTGGGTTTAGTAACACTTTAAGGTTGACCTCTACTGGTCTCCGGGTTTATATGATCAGTAGGAAAATGTCTGAAAGAGCTGAGCAGAGATGATCTGCTATGTTATGTTATGAATTGCTGTATCATTGGACACTTTCAGATCTTCAAAGTTTTTCTTGGCCCATAAGATCAGAGGCTCTGGTTTGCAAGGGAGGACTTTGATCTATCTTTGATAAGAATGTAGGTTTACATGACCAGAAAAACATCTGTCAATTCTAGGATGTTTTTAGCTATCCCCCTGGCCAGGAGATTCCATTGGCTTTAAAGTACATGTGAACCCTCACTTTGTAAAATAACCTATTCAGTTAAAAATAGAAATGAAAAAGAAAGAAAGATCACATACTCTCTGTTCTCAGCTGCATAAGGAGCTTAGAGAAGTGGTGAAGGAGAAACAGAAGTACACTGATCTTCCCAGTGAATGGTTGTGTGATGGGAGGTGTGCCATCAGAAGTCTGCTTGTTGGGAAGAACAGGCTGAGTACTCAAGACAGCTAAAGAACTGACCCCACTGTGCTCTCATCAGTAGTGTATTTTGTTTTTGTGCTGCCCTAGGCAACGCAAAAGTCAGGCACCCCCCAAAATGAGAGAGAGAAATAGAGAGAGAAAGAAAGAGAACAAAAAGAGAGATATTGTATGACTGTTACCCTCACCTGGCAGTCAGAGTAGGATGAGCTGCTCCAGAATCCACTCCTTCAGTTGCAGCCTCGTTTTCAACTTCTTGCTGTCATAGGAGCTGTCAGGAATGGACTCAGCACTGGTGGTGGGACTCACCTGCCGTGTGGGCTGCAGTACCAGGGCTGACCAGCGGGTGCTCTCAGCAGCCAGAAGCTCACTCCTGTAGTCATCCAACACCTGGGGCTGATTGCAGGAGGCGTATTTAAGGAATGACCAGGCCTGTGATCAGGGCCTTGGTGTATGTTTCCCATGAGCCCCTGTACCTGGTATCCTGTGTTCCTGCCTCGTTGCTGACCCTGCTTTGATCCTGACCTCTGCTGACCGTCTCCTGTTGAACCCCTGGCTTGCCTGACCATCCTTCTGCCTGATCCTCGGTACCGCGCTGCCCGCTACCTGCTGAACCTGGCTTGTGACCCCGACCATTCTCTGCTTGCTCCTCCTGTACCACGTTGCCCGCACGATACCGACCCTGCCTGTCTGACTACGCTTACTTCACCTGATGATCCATCCATCCCGCACGGATCACCTTTAGTAAGTCTACCTGCCTCTTCCCATCAGACTCCGTTCCTGCTCTCCCCTGCCAGTACTCTCTACCACAGCCAGACGCACTCAGGGGTCGCGACCTGGTTCCAGTCTGCACCAAGTCCATCCCCACCAACAGGGGCCCTGGTGGATAGCAGGCTGGTACTTAGACCCCGCGCCCTGAGGAAATCCGTGCTGTGGGCTCGGCCTGCCTGACCGCTCCACCTCTCCAGCCCTGACTGCACTGGTACCTATTAGTTTAAGGTTTCCTGCACCTGGTTGTACATATTTATGTAAGTGTTGAGTTTGGTTGTTTGCACTGCGTTTATGTTTGTGTTGCCTTTAATAAATTATATTGTGTGTACACGCTATACCTGAAGTCTGTGTTTCCCTGTGTCGGTCCACACACCTCTGGTCATACCTGGAGCCCTGACATTACACCAAGGCCATTCCTGACCAGAAGTGGCTGCACAGGGAAGCCATCTTGGCTTGTTGCTGGGAAGGATGGATCTTGATGAGGTTGTGTATTTGTCTCTGCTGGTCTTTGATGACAGAGATTATGCTTATCAGACTCTGAAGGAGTATATACCCGGGATCAACTGCTAGAATGTATACGTGTCGCTCATGTTCTAGTAGATCAGGGCACAGAATTCTCTGAGGTGCAACCTTTGATTCAGGTTTGTGCAGAGTTGGCTTCATCTGGTACCCCTGAAAGCAGGAATGACTTTTTGCCGCCATTTAGTGCAGACCAGGTAGAGTCCCTGGTATGGTTATTAGAGGATGATGTGGAGTGCTTCTTGGAGCATTATGCTGCATGTTCACAACAGGTACTAAGGGATTGTATAAACACAGTGCAGTCTTTGACCAGACAGGCTTTGTGTAAGCGGAGCTTTGTTCAGCCAGTACTGCAGATATGGTCAGAGTTGTTACACCCAACCTCAGTCAGCTTGCAACAAACCAGTCCTTCTTCTCATCATTTCTCTGATCAAAGCTCTCTTCCTGCATTCCCGACAGTACCCCGAAAATGACAGCCCAGTATACCCTACTACCTACCACTTGTCAGTACCCTGCTCCCACTCGCTGCACCTATTCTGCCTTTAACCCTGTAAAGAAGTCCTCTGTAGCAACTGCTCCTTCCTTTGTTCCATCCCCCAGCTCTTCTCTGCCTACAGCTGCTCTGTTTACAAACCTGCACTTACTTACAGTGCTCCAGTAACTAAAACCAGGAAAAGGCGAAAATTCTTTCCAACCAGTACCATCCTGCCAGTAACCAAACCGGTCAGTCTGCTGTCTGAGAACCCACCTTCCATGGTTCAGCCTGATACCCTGATGCCTGATGACCCAGTGTACGCTGCCCAGCCTGATGGTTCTGCCCGGCCTGGTGGTTCTACCCAGCCTGATGGTCCTACCCGGCCTGATGATCCTATCATGCCAGATGACTCGGTGCCCGCTGTCGAGCCAGAAGACCTGATGCCAGATGACCTGGAGCCCGCTATCCTGCCAGATGACCTGGTGTGCCCGCTGTCGTGCCGGACGATCGGATGCCTGATGACCCAGTGCCCGCTGTCCTGCCAGATGACCTGGTGCCCGCTGTCAAGCCAGATGATCCGATGCCAGATGACCCAGTGCCCGCTGTCGTGCCAGTTGACTCGGTGCCCGCTGTCAAGCCAGATGACCTGATGCCTGATGACCCGATGCCTGCTGTCGAGCCAGATAACCTGATGAGCCGATGCCCGCTGTCGAGCCAGATGACCTGGTGCCCGCTGTCCTGCCAGATGACCTGGTGTCCACTGTCTTGCCAGATGACTCGGTGCCCGCTGTCTTGCCAGATGACTCGGTGCCCGCTGTCGTGCCAGATGACTCGGTGCCCGCTGTCGAGCTTGGTGACCCGGTGCCCGCGGTTCTGCCAGATGCCTTGGAGCTCGCTGTCGTGCCAGATGACTCGGTGCCCGCTGTCGTGCCAGATGACTCGGTGCCCGCTGTCGTGCCAGATGACTCGGAGCCCGCTGTCGTGCCAGATGACTCGGTGCCCGCTGTCGTGCCAGATGACTCGGTGCCCGCTGTCGTGCCAGATGACTCGTGCCCGCTGACGTGCCTCTGTCCGCTGCCCCAGCCTGACGTGCCTCCGCCCGCTGCCCGGCCGGACGTGCCTCCGCCCGCTGCCCAGCCGGACGTGCCTCCGCCCGCTGCCAAGCTAAACTGGCCAATAACTGATTCCCAGCCTGCTCCTGGAAATCCTGTGTCCAGCGACCTGCCTTCCCCTACATAAAGAGAAGTCTGCCAGCAGGAAACCCAGCCAGCCCGTTGACTCTGGCAGTAAGATATCCAGCCAGTTACCTGACCCGGGTGGTGGAACATTTTGCCCACTAAGGACTGTTTTGGAGCGTCCTGAGGTTGCTCCTTGAGGGGGGGAGGTACTGTCAGGAATGGACTCAGCACTGGTGGTGGGACTCACCTGCCGTGTGGGCTGCAGTACCAGGGCTGACCAGCAGGTGCTCTCAGCAGCCAGAAGCTCACTCCTGTAGTCAGCCAACACCTGGGGCTGATTGCAGGAGGTGTATTTAAGGAATGACCAGGCCTGTGATCAGGGCCTTGGTGTATGTTTCCCATGAGCCCCTGTACCTGGTAACCTGTGTTCCTGCCTCGTTGCTGACCCTGCTTTGATCCTGACCTCTGCTGCTGTCTCCTGTTGAACCCCTGGCTTGCCTAACCATCCTTCTGCCTGATCCTCGGTACCGTGCTGCCTGCTACCTGCTGAACCTGGCTTGTGCCCCTGACCATTCTCTGCTTGCTCCTCCTGTACCACGTTGCGCGCACGATACCGACCCTGCCTGTCTGACTACGCTTACTTCTCCCCGACGATCCATCCATCCCGCACGAATCACCTTTAGTAAGTCTACCTGCCTCTTCCCATCAGACTCCGTTCCTGCACTCCCCTACCAGTACTCTCTACCACAGCCGGACGCACTCAGGGGGTCACGACCTGGTTCCAGTCTGCACCAAGTCCATCCCCACCATCAGGGGCCCTGGTGAATAGCAGGCTGGGACTTAGACCCCGCGCCCTGAGGAAATCCGTGCTGTGGGCTCGGCCTGCCTGACCGCTCCCACCTCTCCAGCCCTGACTGCACTGGTACCTATTAGTTTAAGGTTTCCTGCACCTGGTTGTACATATTTATGTAAGTGTTGAGTTTGGTTGTTTTGCACTGCGTTTATGTTTGTGTTGCCTTTAATAAATTATATATTGTGTTTACATGCTATACATGAAGTCTGTGTTTCCCTGTGTCAGTCCACACACACACCTCTGGTCATACCTGGAGCCCTGACAGGAGCTGTGCTGTGCCCAGATGTTTTCTGTCCGACTCCTTGGTAGTCTCGCTGCAAGCAGACCCGGGGTGGGGGGGGGGGTGGGGCGGGGGGGACCCAGGGGGAGGTGGGGGTGTGGGCTGGAGTATGGGGTGGCCATGGGGAAAAAAAAAATCACTGATCACCCAGGGGGAGAGGAGTGGAGAACAAGTGACAGCTGTGCAGTTGTCAGTGGAAGCTTAAGTAAAGGATCTGGGAGAGATCAGCAGATGCAGAAGACACTTCTGGGCTGGAGTTCCTGTACTCCACCAATCATTCTATAACAGTGTGTGAGCTCTCCCCACTCCCAGCCGCGGTCTTCTATTAGATGATCACCTCTTGCCTAGCTGCCTGCCCTGTTGCCCTCCTGGTGGACTCTCTGCTCTCTCTGAAGATCGGCCCTGGCACCAGTCCTGATCACCTGATATGTGAGTCCCATTTGCGAGGGCGGGAGGGGGGCAGCGTTGCCACCCTGAAAAATGTCACTTAAGGCAAACTCTTAGTTTGCCTTGTGGTAAATATGCCCTTGGCTCTCATGCCTAGTGTGGTCAGTTTTTAATAGAAAAGCAGAAGGACTGGCAGGAACACCAGGGATTTCACACAAAGGAAGCATTACAATAAGAATAGGATACTTTTTCATAGTAGAGCAGGAACATATCAAGAACAAGACATGTTGCGTTTACATATTCTTTAATCTCATAAACCCTCAAATGGGCACCCCACATTGAGAGGCTGGCATCTAACCAGATTTCAGCATATGATGATTTCATCCAATAATCTGCTTGAATGATGGCCTGGAGCAATACCATCTTGAAATGCTAGAAATGCATGAATCAGATCAATTTCTTAAATTTATAATAGAGTAAAAGATTTTTCTATAGTATACAATACTAATGAGCAAATCTGCCAAGGTTCAATTCACAGAGGATTTGGCAGATCCAGTTTACAATTTGATAAACCTGAATTTACCAGCAAATCCAATTAAAGTCTATGGGGGAGCAAGAATCTTGTTGGTAAAGTCTGGAAATTTTTAGTGTCGGTGAGCACTTCTGGAGAAAAAAAAAAAAAAGAAGCACGAGGAGCTAGGCACTCCATTTACTATTTAACGTTAAATGGTTTGTTTGGACCAAACTGCCCCAAACAATCTATTTACTTCACTAACAGTTGGAGCAGCTGGTGGTTCCAGTGGCCAGTACTCAGTGGCCTCCCAGCAGGTGGGCTTTAATGCCACGTGGCCGCATATATTTGTCTATATGTAAAACATTTAATTTGCTGAGCGATCCCAGAACGGTAACTAAACTGTCAGAGAAAGCTCCTGATGCATACTTCGATCGGGAGTTTTTGATCATGTGACCACTGTGACAGCCATTCACAGTCACATGAGCAGTCTGTCTCTCGGCATTTTGATCCCCCCTCCAGTGATTTGCTTCATGGATTTATCAAAAAGGCGTTTTCCATCAAAAACATGTAGAAGCAGTTTTTTTAAAAAAAAGTAGGTTCAGCAGACCAAGCTTCAAGCCACAAAATCTTGTGCATACACACAAAAATAAGAGACGTTCTAGAGACTTTGCACATTCTCTAGAGTGTCAATGCAAAACAACAATGCTGATAGCATCAAATGTAATTATTCTAAGAAAGAAGGGTCCTCAAAGGCAAGTTCATGTTGTCAAATCATATACACACTGTATATATAATCTGTTTGCAATAGTTTGGTAAATTGACATAGAAGCTATGGCTGCAAGCCTGGGCCTGCAAGAGCAAATAAAGCTACTGCAAAGGACTTGGCTCAGCTACGTTACCTTTGGGCTATCGCAGTCTGTCGTAACTGGTTTGTACCTAAAGAGCTCAGCACTGTAACTACTACTACTGCAAAAAAGGAACTTTGCTCACTTCTAAACTACTTGCTGCTACAGATTAAAGAGCAGTCTGCCATCTACTGGTAGCCAAGACTTCAAACGTGCTCAACTAAGAGATCAGCTAGAAGTCCTCAGTGTGAATATTTTCTAATTTTGGAGTATACTACAGAATTCCCTATCCCCAGTTCTACAATAAAACTCCAAAAACAGACATCCCCTAGACTGGTCAATGAAGACAATGAGTGAAATAGTGTGTGTACCTGGCTGTGGAAAATACTTTGTGCTTGGCTGCGAGGCTAAGCGAGGGGAGACCTGAGCAAAAATACAAGCGGCCCTTATGAGCGTGGCGCTGCAGGGGTAAAAAGTCTTCTTTGACTTGACAGGTCTCTTAAGCTCCATTCTCATCTATGCATTTCCAGAATGTGTGAAAACCATGATTTCTGCCATTAATTGTTTGTGGTACCCCAAACGTGGCAAAGTGCATTTTGTAGCGCAGCAAAGTGTGTAAACGTAAGGCAGCAAAAGCTTCAAAAGCTGCTGAGCCAAGTTTGTCACATGAAGGGCAGCCCATTCATATAGGTGTGAATGGGGCCTTAGTGCCCATATAGAGTCTTGTTTTAGTTTTGGAGAATCCGGTGCTGTTAAACGAAAACTAATGCATACTGTGCCTACTGTATAGAGCATTTGTTGTTAAGCTGCAGCTTGTTTCCCATAAAATGAAGTGGTGGGAAAATCTTCTGTAGCCTCAAGGATAGGAGGCTTTGAAGCATTTTTGGTCCCTGGAAACCAAAGGTTCTAGAAGTGCTGAGTTTTTTTTCAAAGAATTCAGACATTCGCAGAGAAAAATGCTTTTTTAGAGGGAGTCTGATGAGGGGAGCAGTGACATAACAGAACTCTGAGACAAAGCAACAGTTATCACCCCGGCAGTGGTTATAGTTTCCTGTAGGCCACCTGCAGAATGCATGCCATCTGGCCCTATAGTCCCAGTTTCCTTGAGCCTGTAAACTACAATTGCTAAATGAAGGGATCCCCAGTGGGGCATTAATGGTTTTGGAGTGCAAAATAGAGGAGGCTGTGCATGTCCAGATATAGGAGATGGTTTAACCCAGACAACAATGTTCCTGTAGAACGTGGCAGCAAGAGTGCATTAACTTATGTGTGCATTTGGTGGGAATGCATCATCAAGGAGGCATGACGCAGGTACCTCATCCTCCTAAAACTAAGTCTGGACAAGAGGAGGAAAAAAACCCCCACCAAGTTGAAATTGCTTGTGTTGTAAAATGCTAATGGTAAAATGGCAGGGAAACCATACCACAAATCCTCTGCCCGTAGAAACCACATAATATGCTATGTAATGCAGAATGTGTTAGTAAAAGCCAGGAAAACCTTTTCTTCTTATCTCTGATGCTGGATCTATAGCTTCATACAATATTGTCGGCATACCCCCAAAGGAATTTTCAGGGTCTGGGAACCAAAGAAATGGATTATGGCCCTGGATCTGTATGGCACCCTGAGGTTAACTACACATATTGTACTATGTACCAAGGTGAGCACCTAACACATGATCTAGTGCCAGAAGTAAACATTACAGGCCAGTCCCATGCAGTGGTGTCTGGGTTTGGTCCCCAAGGTACACACTGAGGATAACCGACCCAGAAAACTACTAGATAGCCTACGGCAGTAAGCAGTTAGATCTTGGTAAAAGTGTCAGAAAAAACATTGAATTTAAAAAAAAAAAAGAAAAATCTCCAAAAAATTGTTCCATTAGCTAAGGATACCAGCATAAAACAGGAATCTCACAGATGGGGCAAGGTTAGATAGAGTGG